GAGCTGGGAGCTGGTCCCTTGGGAATAGGGGGTGTTAAAGATGGGCTCTCCCTCCTGGGAATGGGGGGATGGGAGCTGGCCCCTTGGGAATAGGGGAAGCTGAAGTTGGGCTCTCCCTCCTGGGAATGGGAGGAGGGAGCTGGGAGCTGGTCCCTTGGGAATAGGGGGTGTTAAAGATGGGCTCTCCCTCCTGGGAATGGGGGGATGGGAGCTGGCCCCTTGGGAATAGGGGAAGCTGAAGTTGGGCTCTCCCTCCTGGGAATGGGAGGAGGGAGCTGGGAGCTGGTCCCTTGGGAATAGGGGGTGTTAAAGATGGGCTCTCCCTCCTGGGAATGGGGGGATGGGAGCTGGCCCCTTGGGAATAGGGGAAGCTGAAGTTGGGCTCTCCCTCCTGGGAATGGGAGGAGGGAGCTGGGAGCTGGTCCCTTGGGAATAGGGGGTGTTAAAGATGGGCTCTCCCTCCTGGGAATGGGGGGATGGGAGCTGGCCCCTTGGGAATAGGGGAAGCTGAAGTTGGGCTCTCCCTCCTGGGAATGGGAGGAGGGAGCTGGGAGCTGGTCCCTTGGGAATAGGGGGTGTTAAAGATGGGCTCTCCCTCCTGGGAATGGGGGGATGGGAGCTGGCCCCTTGGGAATAGGGGAAGCTGAAGTTGGGCTCTCCCTCCTGGGAATGGGAGGAGGGAGCGGCCCCCTTGGGAATAGGGGGAGCTGAAGGTGGGCTCTCCCTCCTGGGAATGGGGGGGAGTTGGGAGCTGGCCCCCTTGGGAATAGGGGGAGCTGAAGGTGGGCTCTCCCTCCTGGGAATGGGGGGGAGTTGGGAGCTGGCCCCCTTGGGAATAGGGGGAGCTGAAGGTGGGCTCTCCCTCCTGGGAATGGGGGGGAGTTGGGAGCTGGCCCCCTTGGGAATAGGGGGAGCTGAAGGTGGGCTCTCCCTCCTGGGAATGGGGGGGAGTTGGGAGCTGGCCCCCTTGGGAATAGGGGGAGCTGAAGGTGGGCTCTCCCTCCTGGGAATGGGGGGGAGTTGGGAGCTGGCCCCCTTGGGAATAGGGGGAGCTGAAGGTGGGCTCTCCCTCCTGGGAATGGGGGGGAGTTGGGAGCTGGCCCCCTTGGGAATAGGGGGAGCTGAAGGTGGGCTCTCCCTCCTGGGAATGGGGGGGAGTTGGGAGCTGGCCCCCTTGGGAATAGGGGGAGCTGAAGGTGGGCTCTCCCTCCTGGGAATGGGGGGGAGTTGGGAGCTGGCCCCCTTGGGAATAGGGGGAGCTGAAGGTGGGCTCTCCCTCCTGGGAATGGGGGGGAGTTGGGAGCTGGCCCCCTTGGGAATAGGGGGAGCTGAAGGTGGGCTCTCCCTCCTGGGAATGGGGGGGAGTTGGGAGCTGGCCCCCTTGGGAATAGGGGGAGCTGAAGGTGGGCTCTCCCTCCTGGGAATGGGGGGGAGTTGGGAGCTGGCCCCCTTGGGAATAGGGGGAGCTGAAGGTGGGCTCTCCCTCCTGGGAATGGGGGGGAGTTGGGAGCTGGCCCCCTTGGGAATAGGGGGAGCTGAAGGTGGGCTCTCCCTCCTGGGAATGGGGGGGAGTTGGGAGCTGGCCCCCTTGGGAATAGGGGGAGCTGAAGGTGGGCTCTCCCTCCTGGGAATGGGGGGGAGTTGGGAGCTGGCCCCCTTGGGAATAGGGGGAGCTGAAGGTGGGCTCTCCCTCCTGGGAATGGGGGGGAGTTGGGAGCTGGCCCCCTTGGGAATAGGGGGAGCTGAAGGTGGGCTCTCCCTCCTGGGAATGGGGGGGAGTTGGGAGCTGGCCCCCTTGGGAATAGGGGGAGCTGAAGGTGGGCTCTCCCTCCTGGGAATGGGGGGGAGTTGGGAGCTGGCCCCCTTGGGAATAGGGGGAGCTGAAGGTGGGCTCTCCCTCCTGGGAATGGGGGGGAGTTGGGAGCTGGCCCCCTTGGGAATAGGGGGAGCTGAAGGTGGGCTCTCCCTCCTGGGAATGGGGGGGAGTTGGGAGCTGGCCCCCTTGGGAATAGGGGGAGCTGAAGGTGGGCTCTCCCTCCTGGGAATGGGGGGGAGTTGGGAGCTGGCCCCCTTGGGAATAGGGGGAGCTGAAGGTGGGCTCTCCCTCCTGGGAATGGGGGGGAGTTGGGAGCTGGCCCCCTTGGGAATAGGGGGAGCTGAAGGTGGGCTCTCCCTCCTGGGAATGGGGGGGAGTTGGGAGCTGGCCCCCTTGGGAATAGGGGGAGCTGAAGGTGGGCTCTCCCTCCTGGGAATGGGGGGGAGTTGGGAGCTGGCCCCCTTGGGAATAGGGGGAGCTGAAGGTGGGCTCTCCCTCCTGGGAATGGGGGGGAGTTGGGAGCTGGCCCCCTTGGGAATAGGGGGAGCTGAAGGTGGGCTCTCCCTCCTGGGAATGGGGGGGAGTTGGGAGCTGGCCCCCTTGGGAATAGGGGGAGCTGAAGGTGGGCTCTCCCTCCTGGGAATGGGGGGGAGTTGGGAGCTGGCCCCCTTGGGAATAGGGGGAGCTGAAGGTGGGCTCTCCCTCCTGGGAATGGGGGGGAGTTGGGAGCTGGCCCCCTTGGGAATAGGGGGAGCTGAAGGTGGGCTCTCCCTCCTGGGAATGGGGGGGAGTTGGGAGCTGGCCCCCTTGGGAATAGGGGGAGCTGAAGGTGGGCTCTCCCTCCTGGGAATGGGGGGGAGTTGGGAGCTGGCCCCCTTGGGAATAGGGGGAGCTGAAGGTGGGCTCTCCCTCCTGGGAATGGGGGGGAGTTGGGAGCTGGCCCCCTTGGGAATAGGGGGAGCTGAAGGTGGGCTCTCCCTCCTGGGAATGGGGGGGAGTTGGGAGCTGGCCCCCTTGGGAATAGGGGGAGCTGAAGGTGGGCTCTCCCTCCTGGGAATGGGGGGGAGTTGGGAGCTGGCCCCCTTGGGAATAGGGGGAGCTGAAGGTGGGCTCTCCCTCCTGGGAATGGGGGGGAGTTGGGAGCTGGCCCCCTTGGGAATAGGGGGAGCTGAAGGTGGGCTCTCCCTCCTGGGAATGGGGGGGAGTTGGGAGCTGGCCCCCTTGGGAATAGGGGGAGCTGAAGGTGGGCTCTCCCTCCTGGGAATGGGGGGGAGTTGGGAGCTGGCCCCCTTGGGAATAGGGGGAGCTGAAGGTGGGCTCTCCCTCCTGGGAATGGGGGGGAGTTGGGAGCTGGCCCCCTTGGGAATAGGGGGAGCTGAAGGTGGGCTCTCCCTCCTGGGAATGGGGGGGAGTTGGGAGCTGGCCCCCTTGGGAATAGGGGGAGCTGAAGGTGGGCTCTCCCTCCTGGGAATGGGGGGGAGTTGGGAGCTGGCCCCCTTGGGAATAGGGGGAGCTGAAGGTGGGCTCTCCCTCCTGGGAATGGGGGGGAGTTGGGAGCTGGCCCCCTTGGGAATAGGGGGAGCTGAAGGTGGGCTCTCCCTCCTGGGAATGGGGGGGAGTTGGGAGCTGGCCCCCTTGGGAATAGGGGGAGCTGAAGGTGGGCTCTCCCTCCTGGGAATGGGGGGGAGTTGGGAGCTGGCCCCCTTGGGAATAGGGGGAGCTGAAGGTGGGCTCTCCCTCCTGGGAATGGGGGGGAGTTGGGAGCTGGCCCCCTTGGGAATAGGGGGAGCTGAAGGTGGGCTCTCCCTCCTGGGAATGGGGCGGTAGGAGGAAGCTCCCTCTCGGGAGGGGAGTAGGGTTGGAGGTGGCGATCCCTTGGGCGGGGGGCGAGGCAGGCCGGGGGGCCCTGGGGCCGTGTGTCGGTGGGGAGTGTCTATTTCTTTTCCAATTCCTCTGGCCTAAATCATTTCCTCTCCCAGGCTCTGCCGCTCCGGGGGGCTCCGGGCCACCCCCCTTCCGCCGGCCCCAGAATCCCAGGAATGTCCGAGAAAGGGGGCAATTGGATTTGGAAACGAACCGCGGGGGC